CCGAACTCTCAAGGTAACATCTACATTCTCCTTGCGGTGGATTACGTCTCTAAATGGGTGGAAGCTAAAGCCACCAAAACTGATGATGCCAAGGTGGTGGCTAGCTTCCTAAAATCACACATATTTTCTAGGTTTGGGGTTCCTCGAATTTTAATAAGAGATCGAGGCACACATTTTTGTAATAAAATTGTGGGATCCCTACTAAAAAAATATGGTGTGACTCACAAAATCTCTACAGCTTACCACCCTCAAACCAATGGCCAAGCGGAGGCCTCAAATCGGGAGTTGAAATCTATACTCCAGAAAACAGTGAACCCAAACCGGAAGGACTGGAGCATACGCATTGATGATGCACTATGGGCATACCGAACTGCCTACAAAACTCCTATCGGTATGTCCCCATATAGACTGGTATTTGGCAAAGCATGTCATCTTCCCGTGGAACTAGAACACAAGTCATACTGGGCGGTGAAAGAATTCAACCTCAATCTTGACGAGGCCGGTGTACATAGGAAGCTCCAATTACAAGAATTGGAAGAACTCCGCCTGGATTCTTATGACAACGCAGAAATCTACAAGAGAAAGACGAAGGAATGGCATGATAAAATGATCATAAGGAAGGACTTTAAACTTGATGACAAAGTCCTCCTATTTCAATCACGCCTTCGTCTATTTCCGGGGAAGTTGAGATCCCGTTGGACCGGACCATACAAAGTGGTCAAAATCTATCCACACGGGGCATTGGAAATTGAAGACCTGGAGACGGGAGAAGTGCTCAAGGTGAATGGACAGAGACTAAAACCCTTCTTTGAGGGATTTCAAACCAAAAACGTGGAAGTCATAGACCTTTCTGAACCAGTCTATGAATAATGAGCAACGAAGATATCGTCAAGCCACGACGTTAAACAAAGCGCTTCTTGGGAGGCAACCCATGCAAGGTATGTTTTCATTTATCATTTTTAAGTGGAGTGCGTGTGTTAAAAAAAAAAAAAAAAAAAAAAAAAAAACAAACGTTTTTGAGCGGAAACCCGATCGGGTATTTAATCAAATCCGACCGGGTAACACATATAGTGGTATTCATTCGCTCCAGGGGTCGAATACCCGATCGGGTGAGGCAAATACCCGTTCGGGTATGAGGGGATTTGATAGTCTGGAACTTTCTGCCAGAAACTAAAAAAAGGGGAGAAAACGTAATACCCGACCGGGTATGACTCTACCCCCGATCGGGTATGCGTAGATTTGCAACTCCGGGACTTTCTGGCAGAATGTTAAAAAAGAGGAGAAAACGTAATACCCGACCGGGTATGACTCTACCCCCGATCGGGTATGCGTAGATTTGCAACTCCGGGACTTTCTGGCAGAATGTTAAAAAAGAGGAGAAAACGCAACACCCGACCGGGTTTGACGGGGTACCCGATCGGGTACCTCCCCGGATTTAACCCCCAAATACCCCAAAACCCACTTCATCTTCTCCAATCCCTCAAAATTTTTGAAACCCTCTCTCCCCAAACCCCATTTTTGAACCTTCAACCTTCAATTTCTCCACCAATACTCCACCAAATCACTCCATTCCACCACCAAAATCATCCCCACAACCCCCTCTCCAACCTTATACCAACAAATCCTCCTCTCCCTCTCAAAATCCCCAAAACCGAAACCCTACCCCTCCTTCAAAAACTTCAAAAATCAAGGCTCCAATGGCTCCAAAGAGGCAAAAAGGGGAAAGCTCATCATCCACAGCCCCAATCCCAGGCTTTGAGGACGTCATCCTCTCAAATGGAGTACAACGAGCAAAATTCATCAAGCTCATGAATAGGCAAGTTCATCCTTCCCGCTTTATGTGTCATGAAACTCTCCGTGCATTGAACTTGTTTGTGATTATGGAAGAATTGTTTACTAAATTGCACATGGGTCTCATTTTTGGTTTGCAATATGTCTCCAATGAGCGGATTATCTTTGAATTCATGAGTTCCGCTAGGTTTATTGACAATGAAGAGGACTCTAGGGAAAGCAAAATCATATTTAGGATGTTTAATCAAAAACATAGCATCACTAAACGTGAATTTGCTGAACACTTTGGCCTACCCGAACCCGTGGATGCAAAAATTTCCGAGAACACTGTTTTTGGCCATGACTTGTGGAAGAAATTGACCGGAGAAACGAGTGTTGATTCAGGAAAACTAACCGTTAGTCACGTTCAACACCCAATTTTCCGAATCTTTTTGAAGTTTTTGGCCAATTGCTTGTTTGGACGCCCCAACAATCACCATGTGAGGATGGGTGATGTGTGTATCCTCACAAATGCATTATAATATGAGGTTGAGTATTTTGACATTTGCAATCTAATGTGGGCTCACCTAGTCAAGGAGTGTAAAGCTACCGGAAAGATTGTTTGTGGTGGAGTTATAATGCATTTGGCAACAAAATTCGGGTATACGGATAACTCACCTATACCCGAATATTGTTTGATGAGTCTCGGTTTCCTTGGTAGTGCACAATGTCTTTCCAACTCTCACTACAATGAAAAAAGAAAAAAATTCTACAAATGGCACATCCACCCAAAACCTTTAAGGTATTTCATCCTTCCCTCCGACGAACTCCCTCCATTTGAGTACAATGAACGCCACACCGACGTGGCCCACTATCTACTCCCCAATGCCATTCCCCCTCACCTCCAAGAACAACCCGACCAACACGACCAACCGGATCAACCAAACCTCCCCGTACACCAACCAAACATCCAACAAAACATCCCCAATCCACCTCAAAACCCACCCCAAACCGACTATCTCCAACAACTACTTGTCGGGTTCCAAACCATGAGCACGGACTTCAAGACAATGGGGGGTCAATTTGACCAACTTAGAGAAGAAGTTGGTCATTACAGGGAAGACGTTGATAAATACCGGGAAGAACAAAGATCCGGTTTTCAACGGTTGGAGGAACAAAGGACGGCCGATAACCGAAGGTATGAAGAAGACTTCAGAAGGATGTATGGGCCTACTTACTCATACATGGCTCATCATGGCGGTTATGCATCTATGGCCACGCCCCCACCACCACCTTCTTGGTATGACCCCTCTCATTGGGGTACATTTGGAGCATCCGGCTCCGGTGGTGGTGGCTATGACGGCGGGATGGGAGGTGACACCACGATGGGCGAGGGAGACATGCACGAAGGCATGGGTGGAGGCTTTGGCGGTAGCTACTACGGAGGAGATGGAGGACACTAGGGACCGTGTCTTGGTTAAGCAGGGGGGGAACTCCTCATTGGTATGTATTTTTCCCTTTTTCTACCTTATACTAGCATACTTTTCTTATTTTCTTTCGAAAAAGAAAAAAAAAAGGGCATGCTAGTTAGGTTGAAAACCCAAAAACGGGCAATCTAAGCAAAAATGGCTTTTAAAAAAAAAAGAAATGAGTGAGGAAAAAGGATGAAAAAAATAGAAAGAGATGCTAGGATGAAAACCTGAAAAGGCTCCTAGGCAAAATGAGAGAAATGAGAGATATAATTGTTTTTGCAGGACATCATTTTAATCTCTTGAAGATGCAAAGAAGAGGAGAAAAAAAAGCAAGAAGCATAGAAGGTCATGAAACCCAAGAAGAACGCTTTTTCTTTGAGCTAAATACTCAATGTAAAAATTCATGTTTTTATCCTTGGTGGCCTTTTGCTTTCATTTATTTGTTGAAACTTTTGGGTACTTGGAACTTCACAACATTTGACTTTACTCGAGGACGAGTAAAGAAACTAAGTACGGGGGAGTTGATATGCGTGTAATTTCCATTTGTATTTGTACGTTTTTAATTAGTTTTGTTATTTGTTAGTTTGGAAATTACACACTTTTGGTGTAATGTTTTGTTTTATTTAAATTAGTGTAAATTATTTAGATTAGGATTATTCTGAGCACAGGACAGGTTGGATTCACTCAAAGGATCAAGAAATGGATCCTAAAGACCAAAAGATGTGCAAGGGGACAAGATCAAAAAAGGATTTGAAAAATAACTCATACACCCGGTCGGGTATATGCAATACCCGATCGGGTATTGACCCGATTTCGTCGTCAACATCAAATCCGGAAAACAAAGGATCATGGGAAGGAGATATTCGGAGATTTGGTCTCATACCCGATCGGGTAGACCGACACACCCGGTCGGGTATGAGTTGACATTTTCAGCTTCTCGGAAGCTGCTGAGTACCCGATCGGGTACCCTAAAATACCCGGTCGGGTATATGATCCTGCCACCTCCATTTCCCTATAAATACACCCCTTTTCCTTCACATTTATTCATCCCTTCTTCCCTATACTTAAGCTCAGTTTAGAATAGCATTTCTTTATATTTCTTTTAGCATGTTTAGTCTCCAAATGAGGAGCTAAACTTCCATTTCTTGGTTTTGCTCTTGAAGCTTGATTGATTATTAAAGTTGTGAGTTATTTTCTTACTTTCTCCTCTTGATTATTAATTATTCCCTTAATCTCATTCTATATCATTGTTGGAGGGTGGCTAAGTGACGATTAGTTAACGTTCCGACATTGATTATTACTAGAAACGTTCAACGAACCGACGGTTAAACGTTGAAGGTTTCATAAGTAAGTAACTTCGGTTTATTAATGCACGGTCGTGGTTAATAAACTTAAGAGGGATTAATTTTGTTGGTTAAACCGAAACCGTTGTGTTGAGGTTATCAATCTCAATTGATTTCATCAAGGAGTTAAAGAGGTTAAATGCTACTATTAAATCGGTATACGGCGTTGTTCTATATTTGGTTAATAGTAAGGGTTATTAATGAACGGTCGTTGTTAATAACTACCCTCGATGAATTGGATATACTCCTCGATTGAGTATTCGAGAGGGGATAAGTTATAGATATAACAATGATCGACTAAAATATATCAACAAGTGGAAAGTAGCAAGACCAAGTCCCTTTTATTCCTGAATTTAATCCCATATAACTCGTTCATCTTCGTGTTTAATTTAATTAAATCACTCAACAAACAAAACCCCCCTTTATTTACTAGTTCATAAAAAAGAGAATTATTCCTTTCCCTGTGGATACGAACTCTACTTCACCTATACTACGTATAAGTGCTAGTATTAAATTTATTTTGAGTGCACTCACGACAAAGTGTACGTCAACAACCAAAACAACATGCTGTTTGAAATAAAAACACAAACAAACAAAAAACGGAATTAAAACAGAGTTCACTGGTTTTCTTTTAAACCCTAGATTCTCTAGCACTCCATGGCTGCGGTTCAGGAGGGGGACAAGCCAGCAGTACAATAGCTTCTTCCTCACCCCACCTCTTATTCATCATCTTTTCTGTCAAGCCTCTACTTTCGTCACCAATCACAGATGACGTTGAATCCAGATCTGTTCCAGCTTTTAACCCAAGCTTCGTCCATGACCTTCACTTGATGACGCCATCCTCTCGCCATTGTTGTCTCTGCTTCTTGTTCGCTTCAGGAAACTCATCGCATGGGAAAACCCCAAATCGAAGAGCCGCCCATCGATAAGATAGAGCTAGAGGGAGAAACAACTGTTACGCTCCAAAATGTGGGAATTGGAAAGTGGATTTCTTCTTCTCATAAATAAAGTCAGTGTTTATATTTTTTTTTTCTTCTCTAAAGTATAGTTTAAAATATGTTTCTTCATCTCATGAAATAATATATCTGTGGTTATTTCATGAAGAATGATGATTGTTGACACATTGGGACTGGAAAGACTGGTTAGCAGATAAGACTGCTGAAGGCTTTCCTTATAAAAGTATTGTATATCAATTTCAAGAGACTGACTTCTATATTTCTCTTGACAGTCATTTCCAGATGAAGTTCTTGGCCTTGATGCAGTTGCTTAAGGTGAGGGAGAGTTGTAGAGTTCATATTTCTTCTTCTCATAAATATGTTCATAAGTGAGCGCAACATTTCTAGTCTGCACTCCAATAGAAACATCGTAGGTATCCAAACAATGGGCCTACAGCCTACTAATACCCCAACAATGTTTACCATCTATTTTTTTTGAACACCAAGGTTTCAACATTACAAAAAATACAGACATTGGCGTGATTAGTCGAGGTTCACACAAATTAAAATAGTAATATACACACACATTGCTTAATAGTTGGTGACATGGATTTTGTCAGGTTTAATTTAGTTACAAGAGTTCTAATTTACTTACTTGGAGGAGCCTTGTACTTCTTTTCTTGAATTAGAGTTCTGAAGCACACATTTTTGTTAGAGTACCAACAGAATCCACTTCCCTACAAACAAGTGAATTGTAGTCTTCAATATTGGAATCCTTCAGTTTTACACCATTGATCCATTGAACAACATTGAAATTCGTAGTCTCATTATACTGAAGTATGAAGCTACAGAACTGAAATATTTTCAGTTCATTACACTACTTATGCTTTGGATTGAAAGTGAAATTGAACCATCACGTATTCAGTCGTTTCATCACTCAACTAAATAACGAAAACATCTGGGATCGATATACATATACGGAGTAAATATAAGCGGAGGTACATACTACATACATCCCATTATTATTGAATTATGAAGAAAGAAAAGATCACAAGTTTAATTTGAACAGAAACAGAGCAGCTAGCCGATAGGAAATCGGTGTACATAACAACCAACCAAACGTACTAGTATAGCTAGCATATCATGCATCATATACATGTATAGCTTAATCAAGGGCTCCATTTTGCTATCTCTTCGTCATCGAGACGGCCAACATCGTTAAACGTCTGCCCCGTCATCTGATCACTCGCCTTCAAAGTCGCTGACGTTTTCCCCACCGGCGTCTCATCCACGTCCACCACCACCCGAGTGATTCTCGGTTCTGCTGGTTTCTCGTTGTCGTGCCTCGGCCCGGCCGTACCCAAAAGTTTGTCCTTCATTCCGGCAAACAGCCCTCCTCCTTCCCCACTCTTTCCCACACTTTCCCTGACCAAATCAAATAAACGGTCACACATCTCCATCATGTACAATATAAAAATATTGACTTTACAAATCAATTTGAGACTTAGCAAATTGATTTGCAAATCAATTTGAAATCTTAAGTGATGCATATGCATGATTTCGTAAATGTTACTAGTATATTTTCTTCTCAAAATGTGAGTTATTAAATCATATTTAAAGGATCAAAGAATACAATTTTGACAAGAAAATGATGGAACTAATTAATATTTTAGATAGGTGAAAACTCACCTCCCAGTCTCATCCCTCCATCGACCTTCATCCTGAAGGTTATACTCGTCTTTGAGATGCATGTCTTCCATTCTCCTCCTTACATCTTCCTTGCTGTCATACATCTTTTCCTGAAAAAAATGTGACACTAATTCTCATATTTCAAATGATCCCCGGATCAAGGGCTTTTACATCTCGTCCCCATATACGGAAATTAATTTACATGTTAAACAAGGTGACATATTAGACTAAACATTGACTAATGAGATAACCAATTTTGTTGTTTCCTTAATTTCAATATTGTAACAACAAATTGAAGTACAATCAACCCAAAGCACAATTTTTTCACATCATATTATTCCGACGGAGGGAGTATTTATAACTCGTAGTTCTTCAAATATGGCATATATTTATATACAGACTAATACAAAGTAAGTTATAATAATACAGAGAGTAAGGGAATTGGAGGGCTATAAACGGCTAACCTTGGCGGCTTGCCCGGTCTCCTCCGCTGTCTGCCTGGTGGCATGGCCAGTCTCTTCCGCCTTCTCCCGGACCGCCTGCCCAGTCTCCTCCGCCTTCTGCACAGCCTCATCTTTCTTTCCCGTTAAGAAACCCATAGCCCTCTTAGCCGCGTCAGCGGCCGAGTCCTTCAGCTCACCCAGCTTGCCAACCGTCGTGTCCTTCCCTTCTCTCGCTTTCTCGGCCGTGTAATCCTTATACTCCCCCGCCTTCTCCTCCGTCTTGTCTTTAGCCTCTCCCGCTTTCTCAGCCGTGTAATCTTTGTACTCCACCGTCTTGTCTTTAGCTTCTCCCGCTTTCTGGGCCGTGTAATCTTTGTACTCCCCCGCTTTATCCATTGTCCTGTCTTTAGCTTCTCTTGCTTTCTCAGCGGTGGCATCGGTTGTTTGTTTCGTCTTATCGGCTGCGTAATCTTTGTATTCTCCCGCTTTTTGGACCGTGCCGTCCTTCATTTCTTTCGCTTTCTCAGCTGTGTAATCTTTAGCTTCTCTTACTTTCTCAGCCGTGGCATCGGCCGTTTGTTTCGCCTTATCTGCCGCGTAATCTTTATATTCTCCTGCCTTCTGGACCGTGCCGTCCTTCATTTCCTTCGCTTTTTCAGCGGTGTAGTCCCGGTACTCCGCGGCCTTTCCCGCGGTCGCGTCCTTTGCCTCCGCGGCTTTCTGCTTAGCCTGCTCAGCGGCACTCTGGGTCTTCCCTACGGCGGAGTCTTTTGTCTCCTTGGCCTTCTGAGCCGCTTGCTCCGCCGTTTCCTTGGTGGCCTCCGCGGTGTCGCTGGCTTTTCCGGTGACGGCGTCCTTTGCATGACCCAGAGTACCTTGGACTGACTTGATTAAGCTTCCGATGACGCCGGGCTTCCTCTCCTCCTCCTCTTCTCGGTGGGTGGTGGTGGTGTATCCGGCGGCGGGATGACCAGTTTCCAGCCGTATTGCTCGGCTCTCTCTTTTATCTTTATTGACTTCGCTGAGCTCGTCCGCCGCCCTCCGGGCTTCGGCTTCAGCCCTCTCCGTCTTCGCCGATTGTCTTGATGCCATGATGGTCTCGATCGATCTATGTCGTTGAGTATAATTTCTTTGATTTATTTGGACAATATTAATTAATTGGACGTACGTAGGGTGGATGGAGGCTGGAGTTAAATAGTGTAGGAGGAGAGGGATGACGAGATGTAAGATTGAGTGCCACGTGTAGGACGAAGAAGGAGAGTGCGGACACGTAGTTAGCGGATGGGAGAGGTGGCAGCTGCAGGGCATGGTTGTGAACTTGTGAGATTATTCCAGACTCCAGAGCCGATCCAAATGCTCTTTGTAAAAAACAAGGTCTTGAAAAGATTGACTAAATTGAATTTTAGAGTTTGATTAATGATTTTTTTAGTATAAAATTAGTTAAAATATGAAAATCATATCACCATATTCTTTATTGAAAAATCTTTTATAAAAGTGTAAATTTTATAAATTACACGGAAATATATAATATCTAAATTATTATCTAAACATTAACAGACAAAAAATGTTACTAGTATATTTTTAGACAATCTAAACAAGAAGTGTATATTACGGAGTACAAAATAGGATGAAGAAATAAAAAAGTGACTAACTAAAAAAAGGACGTAATAGTATGCCCCTCCGTCTCGAAAAACAAATATATATATATATATATATATATATATATATATATATATATATATATATATATATATATATATATATATATATATATATATATATATATATATATATATATATATATATATATATATATATATATATATATATATATATATATATATATATATATATATATATATATATATATATTTTGGTTCAAGTGAGAAATGCATCTAATGTGAGAAATGATAATAAACCTCAGACCGTTGGATTTCTGATTTTGCACTGAAAATAGCTTGATGTTGCAGTAAGACTTAAATTTTTGCAGTGTTGCACTAAAATTGTTTCATATTGCACTAATATTTGACGACGTTGCACCAAAACAACTTCATGTTGCACTAGATGGCTGTAATACGGATTTTTCAGAAAATGCCACCAAACTATGTTGCATATTTCAGTGCAATATAAAGTGTTTTTACTGCAAAATAGCCGAATCCAACGTCTGAGATTCGTTCTCATTTCTCACCTAAAAGCTTCTTCTCACTTGAACCTCACCCTACACACACACACACACACACACACACACACATATATATATATATGTGTGTGTGTGTGTGTGTTATCCACTCAAATGTAAAAAGTGAGTGTGTAGTGAAGGGTAGTTAAGACATTTAACGTAAAAAGAGTTGCCTATAAAAGAAACGTAAAGGAGTAAATGAGACATCCAAAAAGGAAAGTGTAAATATTTTGTTCCAAATTAGAATGTTTTCTTTTGGACTGAAGCGATCTGGTCTGGTCTATTAAATCTGAACTGGTAAGGTCTTGTTAGAATCGAATCGGTCTGGTCTTTGTGTATTTTATAACTGTCTAAGTCTAGTCTGTAAGTCTGATCTGGTCGATCTTTTTATGTCTGATCTGATATGATCTAGTTTGATTTGAGATTGATAACATTTCAAAAGAAAACATCCTTAGAACTTACTCCGTATTTGATGGAGTGCACACATTAATGATTTTGAAAATTGGCTGTAATGTCTAACCTCATCCAAAACATGGGGTGTAAAATCAAACCCATTAATCCTATTATTATACATTTTATCTATGTTTTACCCTAATTCAAGCTAATTTAAGGAATTAGACTTATTAGTTTTAGTTTTACAACATTAAAAGCTATGGAGTAACTGATTTAGAGTAAAATAAAAAGAAATATTTGACTAAATTTTTAATAGGAAATTTGAATTTGCACCTCACTTTTTGGGTGATATTAGACTTTACACTCTATTTTCAAATTTTTAAACTTTACACCCTGAATGGGGTGCAACAAAGACAAAAATTGTTTAGGAAAAATATATCCCTAAATGCACAATGCACATAACATTTATGAGTAGTATAAATATCCCTTTAGGGAAGATGCAGCGGTCCAAACATTAATAAGAAACAAGCTAAGGTTCTAATTTAAAGATAAAAAATATTTGAGAAAAGATTATTGTAGCATATATTTACTGCAATTCAAATACCAAATTTGACTATATGATAAATAAAAATTAACCTATAGAGCTCGAGGGTAGGGCTAGCAATATCACCGCACCCACGGATATCCGGTCAATTCAACCCGAAAATATGGATTAAAATCCCAAAAAAAAACATGGATGAAAAATAGATGACGGGTGGATTGAAAGATGGGTTGGATCGGATGTGGATGAACATTCTCATCTATCCTATAAATTGACCCCTCACCCTCTCCATTCACCCACCCGCTAACCCGCATACGTGTTTGTGTGTGTGTAAGGATTTAAATGGGACGGAGGGAGTAATTGACATTGACACACACACACACACGTGTTTGAAAAGTGTAAAGATTTAAATGGGACAAAGGGAGTAACTGACACACACATACACACAATATCTATTTAATAATATATATAATAATAATTATTAATATTTTAATAGATATGTATTTGCTAATGGAGAAGACACATATCTATGAATTGATGAATTAAAGACAATTGGAAAGTTTCAAGAAGTGACAGTTGATCAACAATTTTTTTTTGTGCGGATGCAGAAATGTAGAATTTGACAGCTTGAAAAAATTTTAATTTATGTCTATTTTGTTTGACAATCAGTACTTTCTTAATCGACAGTGAATTAATTATTGTAATATGCTTAATTGCTCAAGTTTTTATTATTATTATTCAATGGATTCTTAATTTTTGGTTTTGAATTTTCAAGATTTGTCTTTTTATTTCTCTCATCAATTTCACGATCTTGTCAATTACGCTCCTCTCTTTCTTCATCCCGCTTTCCCTTATCTAGTTATTTTCTTTCAATTATTTCTTTTTTTTCTTTCTTCAACCCCTCTTTGGCTTTTCCCTTATCTAATTACTTTGTTTCCATATACTTCATATTTTCTTTTCTCTATGCAAGTAATTGCAAACTTGTAAACCTTTTCTCCTTGCAAGTCAATCACGACTATCAGATCATCTCCAATGCTACAATATGCCCGGTGCACATGTGACATGAGAGATAACAACATAAATATTAGCAACTAAATTATCTTTCTCCTTATTTGAATGATTTTATACAATTTTGGTAAGTTTTTCTCTGCAATGTCAACCATAATGTCAACATTTGACGGTCTTCTTGACATTGTGGAGATTGTTTTTACTAAAGTTGTATAAAACCATTCAAATAAGGAGAAATATAATTTATTTGATAATATTTATGTGATTATCTCTCATGCCACATGTGCACCGTTTACATTGTAGCATTGAAGATGTTTTCATTCTTCCTTGAACTAAGGCCATGTTTGGTATGACGTAATCAACCATGTAATGTAATGAGCATTACATGTTGATTTGATTACGGTGTATGGTACGTCATTTTATTTTAAACCGTAATGTAATGGTCATTGCATATGTGGAACTCATAACTTTGATATGTGTAATCAACATTACATTAAACAAGATGTGTATTTGAAATTACAACTTATACCACGTAGGGGTGGACCGACCTGGGCTGGGCCCTGGTCCGTGATTGGGCGGGACTAAAAGTTTGGGTTGCGGGCTGGGTACCGGTCCGGATCGGGTTGGGCACAATTTTTTTAAATAGTCTTTTCAAATTTATTCCCCCCCCCTCCCCCCAAACCACCCCCACCCACCTAGCAGCCAATCAATGGGAAAAAATTAAAAAATAAATGCATTATGTAATGTTGATTACAATTCAAAGTTGTTGCTACTTAAGTAACCAAACATAGTAATGAAATAAAGACTGCATTCCATTACATTACATTTTATATTGTATTACGCATTTCATTCAATTGCATTGTATTACATCATACGGAGTACCAAACATAGCCTAAGAGACTATAATCTACTCCGTACTATGTACCTGGTAAGATTCACTTAGTTTGGCTGTCATTATGTATACTTTTTTATCTACAAGTTCACAAGCAGAATCATTCTTTCTAATTTTGCTTCCATCTGCTAATCTTTTCATAACAAAACAATTTCGAGAATGATTTTTTGTACAAATTTCGCAAGAATTCGTAACCTACATATATATGCCACATCAAATTCTTGTAAAAGTTACTTTGTCTCAAGATAATGGGCACAAATTAAAAGCATAACATATTTACTAGTTAATGCCAAAACTTTTATCTTTTGAACATGGCTTACACATATATGGAGCCAATGTCAAACTGCCCCTGTTTATTACTCTACTCTATACTAAAAACTAGTTTATAATCAAACACGTATCAGGTGCCATGATGATGATGAACATCACGTATGTAGTCGAATATTGAGTCTTCGAAGCCAAACAGAGTGAAGAATCATGTGAAAGACATCATAACGTTTAGGGGGATTATGAATCTCGAAATGTCTTCGAATCTGTATCCCCCTCTTCTGCATCCTCAGATATTTCTTCTCAGGGATTCCCTTCAGGATTTTCTTCAGGTTGGGAATATCCTTCACCGGAATGATCACCGCAAACGTCTCCCAGTTCAGCACATCTCCGAACGGCATCACGTACCCTTGCTTGATCAGCACGGGAACGCAGCCCATGTACAGCGCCTCCACCATTCTCGGACTGGCAACCTCGTACCTGTTGAGCAAGTGATCAAGCTTGCATGCATACGTGGAATATTGGTTTTTAGTTATTCTTTATTGATTAATATTGTTTTTTGAATAAGTCTAAGTGGTTAGCTAAAGTTTAGGCATTTGATTTGGTCTTTGTTTACTCACGTATTTGAATACTTGGCTTAGCATAATTATAGGAGATAGTTGTTATACGTGCTTGGTTGTTTTCATTCTTGTAAAAGGCTATATAAAGCCTATTGATCATTAATGAAAGTAGTTTTTGTGAGCCTCTTTTCTTCTCCAAGTTTTATTATACATTCGTATAGTATTTCATAGGCTTTGAACAACATTTGGTATCAGAGCCTTGAGAGCTATCCGTGGGCCTACTTTGTGAGGAAGAAAATTAAAAAAAGGAGTGGAAGACAATGCAGACTGCGGGTGGTAACAATGGGAATTCAATCTCCCAATTGCCTATGTTCAAGGGTTCAAACTACCACTTTTGGAGTTTGAAGATGAAGACTCTCTTCAAGTCTCAAGAGCTATGGAGCATTGTTGATGAAGGGTTTGAAGATGGACAACCGGAGGAACCAGATCAAGCCTTGAGAGATAGAAGAAAGAAAGATGCAAAGGCTCTCTATTTCATCCAACAAGCCTTGGATGATGAGGTCTTTCCCCGGATTGCTGCAGCCTCAACATCCAAGGAAGCTTGGAGTATTCTTCAAAAGGAATACAAGGGTGACAAGAAAGTCATTGAGGTCAGGCTACAATCCCTAAGAAGGGAGTTTGAGAATGCCAAGATGCAGGACAAAGAAACTGTCAATGATTACCTCTCTAGGATCACATCAATTGTGCAGAAGATGAGATCCTATGGAGAGGAGGTTAAATCTAAACAAGTGATAAGTAAGGTGCTGAGGAGTCTTTCAAGGAAGTACTCTCATCTTGTGGCAGCTATTGAGGAGTCTAAGGACATGGAGGTATACACCTTTGATGAACTCAAAGGTTCTTTGCAGGCCTATGAAGAAAGGGAAGATAAAGAGGAAGAAAGGGATGAGACAGCTTTTCAAGCTAAAGCTGACACTTCTCACCATGATAGGACTCAGCAATCTTCAAGAGGAAGAGGAAGAGGTCGTGGTAGAGGAGGCAATAGAGGTAGAGGTCGTGGCAGAGGGGGCAGAGGTTACACTCCTGAAAGAAAGGAGGAGCCAACTGGGAGCAATTACAAGAGCCCCATCAAATGCTATTACTGCAACAAGCCAGGCCATAAAGAGGCCTCATGCTGGAAGAAAGAAGAAGACAAGGGAGAAGGAAGAACTGAGAGCAAGTCTAATTATGCTGAGCATGAAAACCTTTTCCTTGCTCAACATAATTGTGACTATGGAGCAAAAACAGTCTGGTATGTGGATAGTGGTTGCTCAAACCACATGACTAGTTCTAGGGACATGTTTATGGACCTAGATGACTCTAAGAAGAGTATGGTGAGGCTTGGAGATGGCAAGCAACTTTCAGTTGAAGGACAGGGAACAATTGAGCTTCCAACTGAGCAAGGAAAGCCCAAATTACTGCATAATGTGCAGTATGTTCCTAATCTTGCCCATAACTTGTTAAGTGTGGGTCAGCTTATATGTGGTGGCTACAGAATCCTGTTTGAGGATGGTATGTGTATTATCAAAGAAAACAAGCAAAATGAAGTGGTGATGAGGATACCAATGGGAAAGAACAAGGTCTTTCCATTGGACCTAACCAGAAATGCAGGCCAAGCTCTTGTGGTGAAAGGAGATGAAAATGCAAAACTATGGCATCTCAGGTATGGGCATCTCAACAATCACAGCTTACAATTGCTAAGTTCAAAGGAATTTGTGCATGGACTACCTAGCATTGGGGTGTTAGAGTTCTGTGAAGGGTGTGTGTATGGGAAGAAGGCTAGAGGTTCATTTCCAAGTGGCAAGTCTTGGAGGGCTAGTGAGTGCTTGGAGTTGATTCATGCTGACTTGTGTGGCCCTATGCAAACTGAATCATTAGGAGGAAGTAAGTATTTCTTTCTCCTCACTGATGACTTCAGTAGGATGTCATGGGTGTACTTTCAAAAGACTAAATCTGAGTCTTTTGAGAACTTTAAGAAGTTTAAAGCATTGGTGGAGAAGCAAAGTGGACTGCAAGTGAAGGCCCTAAGAACTGACAGGGGTGGAGAGTTTGTCTCCAAAGAGTTTAATCAATATTGTGATGATCAGGGGATTAGAAGGGAACTTACAGCACCATATACCCCTGAGCAAAATGGGGTAGCTGAGAGGAAAAACAGAACCATTGTTGAAATGGCTAGGTGTATGATGAAGGTTAAAGGGCTGCCTAATTCATTCTGGGGTGAGGCAGTTGCAACAGCTGTTTATATTCTCAATATCTCACCTACTAGGGCTGTGATGAATTCAACACCATTTGAAGCTTGGAGACTGAAGAAGCCCTCAGTTAATCACCTAAGAACATTTGGGTGTATTGCCTATACCTTGGTAAATCTGAGAACCAAGTTAGATGCTAAAGCAGAGAAGTGCATCTTTGTTGGTTACTCAACTCAGTCAAAGGCTTACAGACTGTATAACCCACTCACAAGCAAAGTGGTTATAAGCAGGAATGTAGTCTTTGACGAGGATGCAAAGTGGGATTGGAATCAAACCAAACAAACTGATGGAAGCTTGAGAAGAATAGTCAATGTAGAAGGGTCTGATGAGCCTCCTGTGGACCCTCCACAGCCTAGTCCTCCCTCAACTCCACATACTTCATCTACTTCTTCAAGCAACCAAAGTTCTCCATCATCATCCTCAAGTGAATCTCCTCCACGCAGAGTAAGAACATTGGTTGATATCTATGAAAATTGTGATTTTGCTCTAGTCGCTGCAGAACCCACATGTTTTGATGAGGCTGTTGCTAAGTCAGAATGGCAAAAGGCCATGGAAGAGGAAATTGGTGTCATTGAGAAGAATGAAACTTGGGAGCTTGTAAGTCTGCCCAAGGAGAAGAAGGCTATAGGTCTAAAATGGGTCTATAGAACAAAATACAACCCGGATGGAAGTGTTTCAAGGCACAAAGCCAGGTTGGTGGTCAAAGGCTATGCTCAGCAGGAAGGCATAGATTATGAGGAAACCTTCTCACCAGTTGCCAGGTTTGAAACTGTGAGGGTTGTCCTAGCCTTAGCTGCACAATGGAGATTACCTGTGTTCCAGTTAGATGTAAAGTCAGCATTCTTAAATGGAGAACTTCAGGAAGAGGTGTTCGTTGAACAACCTCAGGGTTTTGAGAAGAAGCATGAACCTGAGAAGGTGTACAAATTGAAGAAGGCACTCTATGGCTTAAAGCAGGCTCCAAGGGCATGGTACAGTAAGATTGATTCATTCTTTACAACTAATGGATTCACTAGAAGTGATAATGAGCCAACACTTTACATAAAGAAGCAAGGTATGGATCAGTTCATTGTTGTGTGTCTTTATGTTGATGATATAGTATACTTTAGTTCCTCAGAAAGTATGCTAGTAGATTTCAAGAACTCAATGAAGCAGAGGTTTGAAATGACTGACCTAGGAGTTCTGCAATACTTTCTTGGCTTGGAAGTAAAACAGAAAAAAGAGGGAACTTTCTTGTGCCAAAGAAAGTATGCTATGGATTTGCTTAAAAGGTTTCATATGGAGAACTGTGAAATAGCTAAGACTCCTATGAATACCAATGAGAAGCTGCAGAAATGTGATGGAACTGAGAAAGCAAATGAAAGATTGTTCAGAAGCCTAGTTGGGGGACTAAACTACCTAACACACACTAGACCTGATATTGCACACAGTGTTAGTGTTGTGTCTAGGTATATGCATTGTCCTACCAAGCAGCATTTTGGTGCAGCCAAAAGAATTCTGAGATATGTGGCAGGAACTCTTGAGTTTGGAGTATGGTATGAAAGTGTAAAACACTTTAAACTCAGAGGCTATACTGATAGTGATTGGGCAGATTGTATTGATGATAGAAAGAGCACCTCAGGCTCAGTGTTTGACCTTGGTTCTGGAGCTATTACATGGAGTTCAAAGAAGCAAGATACAGTGGCTTTGTCTACCTCTGAGGCAGAGTACATTGCTGCAGGAGCTGCAGCAAAACAAGCATTGTGGCTGAGGAAGTTACTAAAGGATTTGTGCTGTGAACAACAAGAAATTCCAGAGATTTGGTGTGACAACATGTCCACCATTGCAATGGCAAAGAACCCAGCTTTTAATGCCAGAACAAAGCATATAGATGTACAACATCATTTCATTAGGAAGCTTGTAGCTGAGGAGAAAATAGCTCTGCAATATTGTGGAACTGAGTTTCAGAATGCAGATTTGTTCACTAAGGCTTTACCTCAAGCTAAGCATCAATTTTTCATGAAAAGGATTGGGATGACAAGCTTGGATCAAGGGGAGGTGTTGAGCAAGTGATCAAGCTTGCATGCATACGTGGAATATTGGTTTTTAGTTATTCTTTATTGATTAATATTATTTTTTGAATAAGTCTAAGTGGTTAGCTAAAGTTTAGGCATTTGATTTGGTCTTTGTTTACTCACGTATTTGAATACTTGGCTTAGCATAATTATAGGAGATAGTTGTTATACGTGCTTGGTTGTTTTCATTCTTGTAAAAGGCTATATAAAGCCTATTGATCATTAATGAAAGTAGTTTTTGTGAGCCTCTTTTCTTCTCCAAGTTTTATTATACATTCGTATAGTATTTCATAGGCTTTGAACAACAGTACCCGCTGGGACAGATGCAGTACTTGCTCTTCCGCATCATCTCGTAGTATGATTGGCCGCCGCCCTTCGGGAGGTAGCTGTGGATTTGGACTTCCTCGTCTTCTTTGTTGCCCCAATGCTCCATCAGGATCGGCCGTATGGGGCCGTGCAGACCGCCGGAGTAGAAGACTAGCACCGAACGGTTTGCCGGCGGCGGGCCTCCTAGGATCCCGGCGGTGGTGCCGGACGGGAGATGGATTTCCGGAATGGAGACGTCCCTCTTGGGGTCGAATCTTTCTGAGGTATTGGCGTTGCACAGAGCACGAATGGAGTTGTTGTGAAGGTTTGGTATTGCAAATGAAATTTCAGGCCCCTGCATTCTTAGCACGTGTGTAAACGATGATACACATAAAAGTTATACTAGTACCGTAGTAAATTGCATACATGAAATTGGATTACAAAATACTACGTTTATTCTAGTGTCTCTATTAGTAACTTTAATTCTTACAACGTATTATATTCACTTTTATAGTACTTTCTCCATCCCCAAATTAACTTCCCACTTATTCGCACTTCCACATTTGGCAAATTCTCTACATCAAAATAGTGTTAAACAGTATCAAACAATGTCAAAACAGTGGCAAAAAAGAGTAAAATTTACCACCAGTAAATTTATTTCCTTAGTATATGTGAAATCAAAGTAAGAAGTTAATTATGGGACGGAGAGACTATAATATAACTACAATGATGGTGACAAAATAAATATACTTATACTCCAGTCTTTAATACTACTTCCGTTCTCTTTTAATTGCAACATTGCACTTTTTGCACTATTCACATATTCTATTTTGACTACATTTTATTATGAGAAAATTGTCCAACATAGGACTAAAACTTAACCTTTTTCTCAAAATAGGACCACATACATGTTTTTCTCTAAATAAGACTAACTTTACCTTTTTACCCCTAATTCTATTTAATTAATTAATTGATCTAAATAATTGCCCCCCTAGTTTCTTTGCACAACCAAGGCACTCCGGCAGCGGCGGTGGCAACTCCGGCAATTAATTAACCCAATTAATTGCCCCCCTTGTTCTCTTGCACAATCAAGGCAGTCCGTTGGTAGCAGGTCAGTCCGGAGGTGGCGGCAGCTTGACGCAGCGGAAGAGGCGGTTTCCGGCGGCGGCAGCGGTTTCCGGCGGCGGCAGAATGTTGGCAAACCTCCAGAAAAAAAATCTGGAATTTTTCCGGCGGCGGTCGCCAGAGCTCCGGCGGCGCGGCGGCCGGCGGCCAGCGGCGGTCCGGCAGTCCCTGGGCAGCAGTGGTAAAGGTTGTGAGGGGTATTTTGGTCCAATCACTAATAAAAAGTCCTATTTAAAGATGTTTAAACTAGGTACTCCTGTTTTGAGAAAAAAGTCATGTTTTGATCCTATTAAGGTAAATCTCCCTTTATTTATACATGTATTATAAAATAAATTTTTAAAAAATATTGTTAAATTCTTCTCATTATAAATTTTCAAATTATGAATTTTTTAATTTTTTTACTAATAAAAAATGAAAGATATTTGATGGATAGTGTACTCGGGGGGTGTCTTATCCGAGGGGTTATTACGGGATAACCTAGAGAGAAGTCAGAGCAAGCAAGTAGGAGAGAGAGGAGATTATTATGAACTCGAGATGTTCTGATCTGGGATCGTTTACAAGGAGAAATGGGCGGCTATTTATAGCAGCAATAAATGCGATGAGAGTACACGTGTCAACAATCCAACGGCCGAGGGGTCACATCAATCGGGGTGGCACCGACAGTGGCATGTTCACCGCATTGAATGCGGTGGGTGGATGTGACGTCGCATTTAATGCGGTGGTTGGCTGTCTCCAAAGGGAATCTTCGATGATTGAGCCTGTTTGGCCGAAGGCTCCTCAAGTAGCCGAGGGCTTCGTGTGGCCGAGGGCTCTGCGTAGCCGAAGGCTTCATAGTGCCGAAGGCTCTTATTTTTCTGCTGGTTTCTCCCAGTAGTTTCGTATGCCTAAAAAAAGCTATCCTGTGAGTTTTGGAGCCTTCGGCCAAGGAGGCCGAAGGCACCCCAGTGTGTATTCTGGGCTTCCTTGAACTTGGGCCACTGTATTTGGGCTTCGGATGCTCCCTGGACTCAACGGGCCTTTGTGGGAGAAGTATGAGTCTATGGGCCGGGGGTTCCTGGGTCATATACTCCATCAATATTGATGGTCAAACTTGTGTGTTGTCAAACGTGAAATGTTGACAGTTGCAATTAAAAGAGAACGTAGGAAGTAATTCTCTTAACTTATTATATAGACAATCATTCTTCTTGTACACGAAATTTGTACACATTTTTCGTACACATTACACATGATTGTCTATGCCCAAAAGCATTTACGTATAATGTGTGCGAATTGTACAAATAGAATTTTTCTTATACAAAAAGAAAATTGCATATCACACTTTGTCTTTCAATTAGATATTATTTTAAATCGCCTAAATACAAACAAATTTAAGTCTAACACAATTCGTCCAATATTTGACCTTAACTGATATTATTATCTTAACATGACTAAATAAGTGCTATGTGATACCAAAAATATGTTCAGTGTTATTTTTAAAACATATATGGAGTACGTTTTAGTTACTTTGTACCACTATATATGTGATAATAATATTCATAAAAATGCCACCTAAATAAATGTATAGTACACATGTATGTACATACCCAATCATGGCAAGCAAGCATGAAATGATCAGCTCCAAGGCTGCGATTCCAAAAAGGATACTTGTGGGCAATAACGTCAACATAGTCAAAGGCAGTCTTCTTCATGAGAGACCAATCATGCGAGTCACGAACGTATATGACTTCGGTCAACATGGTAACACTGAAGGGGAGGAAGAAAAGATGAGCTTCATTTGGATCGGAGGTCCGGAAGGGGGTGACATCCATAGCCTGGATGAAGTAACCTTCGATGGCATATGTATGCTTGCATGGACCGAAATGGAACACTGGGGGCTCCCCTTCCTTGTACACGTACACCTTCAACCTCCTCTCCATTTCCAAGTAGCTCCTGCATGCATGCATGTGTTCATTTATTTCTATTTTGGGAAGTTTTAATCAATTTATTCATTTAATAGAACTAAATAAATGTTATTTGAAGAACAAAACATGCATACTTGATCATATTTTTTAACTTTGTACATGTTTTAGTCACATAATATTTCTATCATGTTCCTTTTGGTATAGTACGATTTAGGGGGTGTTTGGATCTGATTCTTAAAACTGTTTCTGCTCCTTCACCAAGCAGGAACATAAGCTGAAGTACGTTTTTGGGTGAAAGTGCAAAAGTAGTTCTGGTGCTCTAATTTACTTGTAGAATCAGTTTTTATAGAAATTGGGGGAGACCAACTTCTGAAAACCGATTCTGATTCTGCTTAATTTAAAAAAGAAGTAGAAGCAGAATCAATTCCAAACATTCCCTTATTTAAGTTCGAGTTCAAATGGGATGCCAAATATAATGCGTGATATTCAAAGTAGAAAGCTTAAGTAGGGACAAATATCTATTAAACTTAACACTTCATTACCATCATCAATATTGTTGGTGGACCAAGAGTGCTTACCGACACTTGTTAATCTACTAAGGGAAAATTTTGAAATAAGAGTAAAAATATTTCAGAATTTCAAAATATGACTGACATGTTTTTATTGTCTAAATAGAAATAAAAATGTTTCGGAATTCCAAAAAAACTGACATGTTTTTTATTTCCTAAATATGAGTTTTTTTTTTACTCAGGAGGGTCTGGAGTAATCAGGGCTGAAACTCACTCCATTGAGTTTCAAACCTTAATGTGCCTAGCGGGTTTCGAACTCAAGACCTCCCGCTAAGCACGGTAACCTCACAACCAGCTGGACTGGAATGCTTGGTTATTTCCTAAATAAGAGTAATTAGTGCCAAGTTTGAAGTCTTATTTTGGAATAAAGTCTGGTACTGTCGAAACATGACATTAATTACTTCTATTTAGCGAATATAACATGATAATCCTATTTTGGAATACACAAACTCATTCAATCTTGTTTAGGACAATTTACCAATTCCCATGTATTACTAGTTGTGCTAGCGTTGGTTACTGGTCGTGCCAGAAATTGGTCCAATTGAGCCGGAAATTAGATAGGTGGTCCGGGATGAAGTCTGGGTGATAGCTAAGTGGTGAATGTCCGGACTCTGATAGATGTTTATTTTATATGTAGTATGTATTTTGCTCTTGTAAAAGTCTAGTCGAACTTGATTCAAGATTGAAATAAGTCCACTTGAAAACATCTATCTTGAAAGCTTTCGTGTTTACTCGAAAATAACGTACGCACGATAAGAAAGAAACACGAAAATAACGTACGCACGATAAGAAAGTTACTAAAACATACATGTACTAAAAACTATATTATGTCGAATTTTTAAGAGGAGATCAGAAAAGGACTTGATTAGGCATGCTACCCAATTAAGTAAACTAATCGATGCGTGATCCATCAAATTAATATGGTACGATATTTGTTAAAGCATTTGTCCCGGCCCACACCAGAAAGTTATAAAACAATTAAACACTATATAAGGCTTTCGTGGTTACTCGGAAATAACGTACAATCAGAAAGGGACTAAAACATACATGTACTAAAAACTAGATTATGTCGAATTTTAAGAGGAGAAAACAACTTAATATGGTACCCAATTAAGTAAACTAATTGATGTGTGATCCATCAAATTAATATGGTACGATATTTGATAAAGCATTTATCCCACACAAAAAACTATAAAACTATTAAACAGTATATAAGGTGTTGGACTACTCTCCTATCAGGTTGACCTTTTAGAATGGAACTCCGATCTTAACTTTAATTAAATCTCGAGCGATACTCAAGGGAATTTGATAGGGATGTCTTAAAAAGTCACAATTAATGATATAGTATTGGTGGAAAATCCAAGAAAACAACATGGGATTATTTAGGGAAGTTTTTGAAACGTGTACATGAAAGTGTGGGTAAAATGTACCTACGAAAAGTTGAGGCATTCCAGTACATCGGCCCTTCCGGTATGAAATCATCATTTCTTAGCTGCTGCTTTCCCCTCGCAATTGAAGCCCGAGATCGAGCAAGCCCAGCTTCCAGAATCTCCAATTTGCTGATGTGCCTTTTTGGGCCCATTTCTTCATCTTCAGCTGATAATGAGTTCTTCATACTAACATTCTACACATATTTAATTAACTCGTCGTTAATTAAGAGTCATTTTAATCATAATATAATGATTATTATATAACGTAACTACAATAAAAAAATAGTGGAGAAAACTAACACTTCTTATACATATGGATTACCGTGATCATTTTTAACCACTAATTATTTTCACCTTTATTCAATAAAAGTTTATGATATTTCTAATCACGTTTTTTCAAACCATTCAACACATGAAATTTTGAGAGTAAGCCGATAAGTAAGGAGTATATAGCAATTCAATAAAAGTGTGCCTTTAACTACAACTCGCTACAAACGTGAATTTACCTTTAATTTAGCAAGTGCGAATATAAAAGCATCCAATTCTCCAAAAACGTGAATTTGTCTTTGATTTAAACGCTATAATTTAATAACTCGTTATATGTGTGGCTAAATATAAAAAAGTGTTTAACTTGATAAATGTATCACTCTTAATTATCTACGCTGCACTTTTATCTGCTTTGGTTGGATTTTTAAACAACATCGGCCAATACAATACTGCGTACTAGTAGTCTAGTACTATTTTTAGAAATTATTTACACTTTTTTTAAAGCTAAACAAAATTGAAAATTAGGGTGGGTTATGACCTAACTTGACCCAAGCTACGCCCTAACATCAATACACAGTCCCTAATTAATAAGTTTGGGGTCCGCTAACAAAAAATACTTAGAGTTCATTTGGTAACTTATTTACAGTTTATGAATCTTATCAGCCAACTTTTCTACTAAAAACGTAATTTTTGAGGGGAAAATGATAACACTTTTACGTAGCTTTTCCAAAAATAAGTATGGGTATATTTTGTTCCCAAAATAAGATTTACGTACTCCTATATATTTCGAGGGGGGAAATGATAACACATTTATTTAATAAAATATTTTTATATTTCATCCATATTCAGCAAATTAAATTCACTTTTATCTAACTTTTGATTCATTAGAACTTTAGCAAATTACCCAATACTAAATGCTTTATTCTCTTTTTTACTCCAGGGAAAAATTTAATTTAGTTGCAAATTGCAATTGATTTGTGTGCTTTTTTTATTACTACCTACCTCATTCTTATGATGATTTTATGATATTGAAGTAGTATGAATGAAGTAGTATTACATTAGCGGGGGGATCAGAACGAGAGATTGAATGTTAATTTATGAAAATATGTAGTCACTAAAAGTTACCAAGTCAATATTTTTTATTAGTCGCTAGAAATAATATTTTAGGAAAAAACACAATTTATACTCCATGAACGTCGCAATTAAATTTTAAAAAATAAATTCTCACTATTTGATCTGTTTGATAATATTAGATACAACAACAAAAACATTCAAATCTTATTCAAGAGTTTGGGATCAATACATGAATGGTTGATAATATGAGAATGGTAAAAAAATCTTTTGCCCATATGAACGGTACTAACTTAATTAGGAAGCATTGCATGTATTAATTTCCTTTAGGATATTGGAAGATCGCATTTGAAAAATCATTAAAAACATTAAATTTTACCTAAAAATCAGATAATTCAAACTAGGAACCTAATTAGAGAGGGAGGTAGATTTAATTTTTCTTACACGGGGTTGACTTGTGACACTGTTTTCTTGCAATGAAGGAGTATTATCGGAAGAGACATTCATCAAAGCAGTTATTGTTCCACTAGCGGAGCCGCCGCCGCCGCGGCTTTGTTGGAAAGGAGAAGCAAGCCGCCAGAAGGAAGTGTGAGGGGCGGAGAAGACCACCAAAGCTGCCACCACAAATAACGGCAACACATAACAGAAAAGCAACAAAGACGAAAAAAAGGCAGCCGCCACCCTCCTCCTCCATTCACCATTCATCCGGATCGGATCCACCTTTCTTAATTATTATTCTCAATTATTTATTTATTTATACGTATTTTTGTATTGTGGAAGTTTGCCGGCCGGCCGCCGTTTCAAATTTGAGTGAGGGGAGAGCAAAGAAGATACTTGAAGCCGCCGGTCACACTTCTCATAACATGCACATTTTTATTTAGGACTAGAAATTAGAAAGCACTCCATAATATATAGAGTACATCTTCAGGAGTTAATTCCTTGCCATAAGAGTTGGCAATTACTCTTTCCGCGTGAATCAAAGATGAATTCAAGGATACTCCTTGCTTTTTTACTTCATAATAAATAAAATTATATATACCGAGCAATATTATAATGATCGATCATCCATGTCTAATTCTCTATTGCAAGAATGTACACAATTCATATGTGGCTGAAAGATAGTCAAACGATTAAGTAAAATTTATTCTCTATTTGAAAGATCTTATACTACGTATATTTTTAGTAGATTTTTCTCCATCATGCATGTCAAGAGGAACGTCTAAAACTGTGAGAATAACTTACCTAAAACTGTGAAAATAAGATAAAGATAGACATGACATTGATTTAGTTTTGTATGTTTATCTCTCTCATGTCGCATGTACATCATGACATTATTGCATTAGAGATGCTCGAGAGTATACCTCAACTGCTTTAAAAAGTGACTTTCTCACACATGATGACATTTCATTCCATCAATTGGAGGTGATGTTGCTCGAAGGTGGAAATTGCGGAGACAATGGCCTGCATACTTTTTATATTTTTATGTTTTTATTTATTTTTTTGTCATAAATATTACTAAAAAATAAGCATGGACAACTAAGAGATCTTTTTTCTTAATTTCCAAAAATGTGACTAATAAATACATCCTTTACTAATTTGCCCTCCCTTTGTATATTTCGTTGCACCGTAGCTAACTATTAATGCAATCTGTAAGATAATACTCTCGTATTATGTAAGTCCGTAGCAATGCACTCTAACAAGATCTCCATGAGCAACTCGTTCTCTCACAAAGTGGTAATCAATCTTGATGTGCTTACTACGATCATGCTGGACGGGATTCATAGCTAGATAGGAGGCAGAAACATTATCACAGTGAAGTTGAACTGGCGTAGAAAGCGGAATGCCCATCTCCGACATAAGTGAGCGAATGAAAATAGTATCACGAACAGTATAGGCAATGGCATGATACTCAGCTTCAGTAGAAAATAGTATCATGAACAGTAACTTCTTGGGGCACACCGGGAAATAAGGTTGGGACCCAGAAAAATGGCATAACCAATGGTAGAGCGGCTACTATCTGGACAACCAGCCCAATCCGCGTCAGAGTATGCCACAAGAAGGGAGATGTCACGGTTGGCCCGAAGCCATAAACCATAATCTGTAGTACCCTGCAAATATCTGTAAATCCGCTTCACAACCAAAAGGTGAGTACTACGTGGTGCATGCATGAACTGAGAAACCAAATGTACAAAATAAGTAATATCAGGTCTAGTTAAAATCAAATACTGCAAAACACCTACCATACTGCGATACTCAGTAGCATCAGTAAGAAGTTCGCCATCTGTGAGAGAAAGAGTAGTACGTGATGGGAGTGGGGTACGAACTGGATTAATAGTATGAAAATGAAACCGACATAACAGATCAGAGATATATTTGTGTTGAGAGATAAAAAGACCCTGAGGTGTACGCCGAGTTTGGAGACCCAAGAAAAAAAGAATATCTCCCAAGTCCTTCATGGAAAACTGAGTAGAGAGAAAATGAATAATAGAACGGACAAAGGTTAGTGACGAGCCAGTAATTAAGATATCATCCACATAAAGGAGAATATATACCACCTGAGAGTTATGACGAAAAATAAACATGGAAGAGTCATATTTACTTTGAAAAAAACCATGAGATAAGAGGAAACCACTAAACCTGAGAAACCAGGCTCGAGGAGCCTGTTTGAGACCATATAATGCCTTTTTGAGACGACATACATGATGAGGAAAAGAAGGATGGACAAAACCATGAGGTTGAGGCATGTAGACCTCCTTCGTAAGATTACCATGAAGGAAAGCATTCTTAACGTCTAACTGGCGAATACACCAACCAAGAGAAACAACAACAGATAAAACAAGACACACAGTAGTGGGTTTAACCACACGAATAAAAGTCTCAGTAAAGTCTACACCAGCCTGTTGCTTAAACCCTTGAGCGACTAAATGCGCCTTGTGGCGCTCAACAGTCCCATCAGAAATATATTTTGTCTTATAAACCCACTTACATCCAACCACATTTTTCAAGCCATCCCAAGGTACTAAATCCCAAGTCTGAATAGAAAGTAGCGCATTAAATTCATTAGCCATGGCAGCCCGCCAAATAAAATGTTTTTGAGCTTCAGAAAAACAAGTAGGATCATCCGGGGGTTAGAACACACTCAAATTAAAAATTGCTTTGGACTTATAAATACCATCTTTGGCTTTAGTTTGCATTGGGTGACAATTGGATAAAGGGAGTGAGGCTTTAGTGGGAGAGGAACTAGGAGTTGGGCTGGTGGGTATACTGGACAGGGAACGCAAAGATGGACTGGGTATGGAGATGGGTGGACTGCTGAGTGGTGAACTAGGTGGAGGGCTAGTAGATGAGCTGGACAGTGGGTGAGGTAAGGAAATGGGTGTTGGGTGGGTCGGAGTGGATGGTGAGCTGGGATCAGGGCTGGTCTCTGGAGTTAGGTGTGCGGTGGGACTGCCGAACGTGGGAATAAGATAGGCCGAGGAGAGGGAGGCTGGGAAATTGTGGTGTGATGTCTGGAGGTGGTGCTAAGGGTGAGGTCTGGAGCAAGGTTCTGGGCGTGGTAGGGGACTGCATAGAGGGCCATATCAGGGAACTGGTGGAGGCAATATTAGGAGATGGTAGAGGGGTTTTGCTGAGCCGAGAGTAAGGAAAATCATTTTCAAAAAATTGAACATCCTGACTAATATAGACTCTACCAGAAACGGGATCGAGACAACGATAACCTTTATAAACCGGTGCGTACCCAATAAAAACACATTATATGGAACGACGTGAGAGCTTGTTAGAAGAATTGGCAATGAAATTTGGAAAACAAGCGCAACCGAAAACACGGAGAAAGGCAAAATCTAGAGTTTTGTTCAAAAGTTTTTCAAAAGGAGTAAAGTTATTAAGTATGGGGGTAGGTAAACGATTGACAATATAAGTAGCTGTGTACAGAACATCAACCCAAAAGGCAGAAGGAATGGAAGATTCAATCAACATAGTCCTAGTCAATTCAAGAAGATGTGTGTGTTTGCGTTCAGCTACACCATTTTGAGCAGGAGTATCCGGACAAGATTTTCTGAATAAAATACCAGTTTCGAAAAAATGATTTTGAAAATTGGTGTTGTCAAATTCACCATCCCCATCACTCTGAAATTTTTTGATTTTTCTATTAAAAAGATTTTCCACAAGAGTATGAAAAATACAAAAGTGAGTAAACACCTCAGACTTGCGCCGCCTAGGATAAATCCAAATATAACGAGAAAAATCATCAATGAAGCAAACATAATATTTAAAATCCAGATTGGATAAAACAGGTGATTGTCAAACATCAGAATGAATAAGTTCAAGTGGCGCAATACAAGTATGAATAACATCCTGAAACGGGAGTCTGCGGGATTTACCCAACTTACAAGAAACACAATTATGAGTAAAAGTGCTAGAAATTGAAATTAAATTATTTTGCCGAAGTCTTTGTAAAACTCTATCACCACAATGCCCCAAATTCTTTGTAAAACTCTATCACCACCTCCACGGAAGATAATCCTCAACCGCATTTAATCGGGTAGTCACAATATTTGTAACATTGGGTGTAGAGAATCCCAATTGAGCAGCAAGAAAGGCCAAAGAAGAGGGATTTGGGGGAAAACCTGAAAGCTGTTGAGCCAGAGAAGAGAGGCGGCGGTGGAAGCCGCTGTTCAGAAAACGATGCACTGCCTGGCGGTGGAGGAAGAGAGGCCATCATAGAAGATGAAGCCGCTGCAGCAGTGCGAGAAGGTGTCCACGAAAAATGCTTGGGCATGTTAAAGAGACGATATGACGTCAATGGAGGTGGCATGTGAGACGTGCTTGGCGAGACCCTTTGCTGAGATATGTTCGGTGAAGACAGGGTAGAAGAGGGCGACTGCATCGCCATGGTAGATACGGGTTGAGTCGAGGAAGAAAGCTGCTCGGTGGAGACCGGCGCTGTGATTGCCGCTGCGATGGTGGTCGCAATTCCCGCGGAAGAAGTTGCCATCGTCGAAGGAGTTGTGGCAGAGGAGACCGAAGGCGTTGAACGTGCAGAAGAAGAGGTCATTGAGAATAGAGGCGGCCGTGTACTAGGTTTACCTAGGCTGCTGATACCATATGGAATAATAAGATGGAATAATGGCTCACCCTATTAGGGTGTCCTGGTGGTCTATATATAATAATAATAATAATCAAGTAATAGGAAAATTACAGTTATGGCCCAATACTATAGATTATTAGTTTGGACACTATTTGACACAGTTTTGCACTGTTTGGCATTGTTTGGCACTGTTTTGATGTAGAAGTTTGCCAAATAAGGAAAGAAGAACTTAATTCGCGGACTGCCCAAAAAGGAAATGGGGAACTTGTTTGGGTGGCGGAGGGAGTATATGTTATTGTATATTTCAAGAAAATGTATTCTTCATTTGGATTTTAGTCATTAAATTATCTAAGGATATTTAGAAAAGAAATGATTCTGAATTGAATAGAAGTGAAACATATACATACAAAGATTAAAATATAATTAAGGATGATTTGTAATTTTAGTCTCGTAACTTTCAATTGTGCCGTTATTAGTTTTGTAATTTTACTCGGTTGCAAATTTGATCCGATATCTTATAAATATTTTCAATTAATGATTCTTCAACCGAAAAGTACACTTTCTGGCTAAAAAATGCGATCAACGTCGAATTTTATGCCAAAAAGTGTACTTTCCGATGAACAAATCTTTAAGTTGCAAATACTTACTCATATTAAATAATTACAGGAGCAAACTTACCGGCGATAAGATACATGACTAATATTGGGCATAGTTGGGCACAGTCTAACGTTACAAGATCGACTAAAATTGCAAATTTCTGATATAATTAATTAT